TTACTGAATACTCGTTATAAATTTCTTTATCTTGGAAATCTTCCTTTTTTTCAGGATTATTTTGACACATACTAACACTGTTCATATTTGTCGGTAAACAAATGCACAGTGCTTAACATTAAGGATAAATTTTATTCATTCTTAAATATATTTATGTACAAAATATATCAGAAATTTTAGTATTAACTGAGCTCTTTAAAGTGAAACAAATAAAGATGAGAATATAGAATTTCAAACTATTATTTACTATATAAACTTAAAATATCTTTTAAGTCAACTCTATACTCAAGCATCATGATAGTAGCATCTGTGAGTAAAACCGGGGCCGTAGCAATAGTCCGAAGGTTCAATAGTCCGATGGTTCATTGGTCCGAATATTCACCATATAACCTTCGGACCAATGAACCCTTGATTAAAAAATCGATGAAAATGTTACCACTTTTCGGACCAATGAACCGTCGGACCAATGATCCTTCGGACTATCGAGACGCCCCCAGTAAAACCATTTTATCATATCAATAGAAGAACAAAACCAAAAACAAAATTTTATACATAAGCAGTAATTAATAAAGTCATAAGAATGATTAAGTTGCTACAGTTTTCCAGTTTAATGCAGTCTATGTTGGCATTTTTTTTTTCAACCGTGCAAATAGAAATAATTATATATTGTTTTATCTGACTTGCTGATACCAGTCTGTGCCAGATACTATTTCACTCACAGGCCAGCAAGGTCTGAGAATCTAATGGGCCGAATGAAAAAAAAATCCTAGAAGATAAAGTGGCTAATTCTTACAAATAGGATAAAAAACATGGGATTTTCAAAATGTTTTATAGATTAAGACAACACTTAGTCAGAACATTTATAAAATGAATTGGAGTACATGTTACAGCTGAAAAAATTAACTGGGCCAGTACGTAAGTGACTGCTTTAAAGACTGGCAATCAGGTAGACTGTTATACCATGGCACTCAACAAATTATATATAGGTTTTGAATTTTTTTTCACATGACAGTAACATAAAATTTATGTCCACTTTTGAAATGTATAGAGTCAGTTAGGTGACTGAAAATATTTTAAAATGTCATGAAGGAGCACTATTAATTTAATGCAGTCTGTGTTGGCCAGTTTTATCCAGTTTCTTCTCCAAAAAGGGCAACTCAAGTGAGAATTTCTTCAGGACCTTTTCTTCTGCCTTGCCAATGCCATGGCACTCAGAAAACAGAAAAACCTGTAGGATAGAAAAAAAACACATAATAATAGCATTATGAACTACTAGTATCCACGTAGACATTATTGAATTACGCAGTTAATGCGCAGTTAATAAGTTTAATGCGTCTTGTTATAACTTGACTGAAATAATGTTCACCACATAAATGAACAATATACAACTAAATTTATATAGAACATCAAGATTCATGATCACAGGCTCATAACCCCAAGAAATTGAACTTATTACAAGAAATTATTTAAATCCGCCCTGGTTCCTACTCTTCTGACAGGACAAAAAGGGATTTCAGAGAGGCTGGTTGCTAAAAGGAAAATGCCCAAGGTTGTTGTATTTTGAAATTGGTGAAAATTTTTTAAAAAGCGTACTGTTGTTAGTAAATGTTTAATGCATCATAGGCATTACAACAAAAGTAACTTACCCCAGACACACTGACCTCCTTTTTTCATTGATATTTTTAAATTTTTTCCAGCCTGACCATAATTCATATATTCAATGCAGCCTTCTCCCATATCTATAATAGAAGAAAAAAAAACAACTGAAAACTGATATGCATGTCAAATGCATTATCAATTTTGAGAGAATTTCTGTTTCAACACTGCAAGATGAAATATTTACTTTCAAGTAATGAATAAACCTTAATAGAGTTCTATTCTTTTGTAACCACCAAGGCATAGCTTCTTTCATAAAATGAACTGAAACATCCAAGCTTGCCACCTAACATGCCAAAGTATAATTACAGTAGAGAAGCAAGTACCCCTTAATTATAGAGGTGTCTTACACAATAAGGTGCGTCTTACACACCTTGACTCAAAGGGAGATGTGTAGTGAGATCAGGTAAAGTAATTGTCGCCTAGGTGAACTTAAATCCTTAAGACTTTAAATTAAGAAGCACCGGTGTCACGTGTACGGTCCGTTCTGCGTGAACCATCCGTCCTGACCGATTGTACATGCAGCAGCAGCGTGTATGAGCCGTTCCGTGAATGATCCGTTGTTATTCACCTGTACTGTTATATTCGGCTAGTTCATTTCCTACCTCATTATATATTCACATGTGTTAATTGATAATTTTGATAGAGAATCAGCGTCAAATTTCAGTTCGACGCATGGATGAACCTACCGTGGACGGGCCGTCGTTATTCAGCTGCTGGCTACTATTTTAGTATTGATTTTACTAGGCTAGTGTGTTGATATGGCCACCTGAGAGAAATAGCAGTAGAGGTGAAGATCTTTAAGATATGAATATTTCTAAAGATTATGTTTGAATTTGCAGTATGTTCTCAACAGAGCGTGTTTATTAAAGGCTAAGAATGTATTGGCGACTCTATATAGACGGACTGTACACGCCGGTAGTCTCTCAGATTTGCCTGCGCTTTGTGCGCATGAGCAGAACGCTCCGGGCGGTACACGCCACACCGGGATTCATATGTGTTCTTTTTTCAAAGGTTAAGTATGAATTAAAACATATAAATGTAAAAAGAAGACTAAATAAGTTTAAAATAACTATACCAAAGATACTGTGAAGTCAAACTTCCTGTTAGACCGCCATGATGGAATATGCTGGGTGGAGGCAAAACTTTTCCAGTCAAAATAATTGAGCACCTTACTTTAACAACAAAGTTACCACTCCAAAGCCACCCACCATGGTGAGAAGAAAAATGATGACCAACTGTCATGTTAAGTTTTTTTAGTTTTAGACCCCATTTCCAGAGATTAGATCGATCTACTTTAGATCGACCTAACTCCCTGGAGGTTCACGCTAAATAGCTGTCAGCCGAGCGGACACGAAATTTAATTACCCCCTTACAGCTTGTAGTAGGCGGGACGGACATTTAAGCCGGATTATCTGACAGTAATCTAGTAAGACTCCCCGCGGGGATAGATCGATCTAAAAGCTCTGGAAATACAGCCTTAAACACGAAAACAGTACAGGCAAAATGGTACATTTACCCATAACACTAAAGTAAAAAATTGGTATTCTGAACAAAACGGGTTATTTTTTTCAAGAAATATTGGAGCAATATTCATGCAATATACTAGTATACCAAACCACGACCAAGATGTTCAAGAATCTAAACACACCAAAATCTTTATAATCACGCATTTAAAAAGTGCAAAAAAATTCTAGGCTTTTGGTCGTAACAAGCGTAACAGTTTTTGATCTGGACTCGTGAAAATTGGCCCTTGTCGTATTCAAGCTAGACCAAATATAAAATCGAAAAAAAAAAAAAAAAACAACAATACTGCTCAAGAAAATGTATTGCACACATACCAATTAGTTAAATTTTATGACTGTCATGTGACACAAGTATCAAAAAGTAGGGGGAAAATGTCTTTTGGAGTGATTTTTTTTTCCGAAACATAAACAAGATGGCGGCCTATGCATCTGCTTGATATTCGGCTACTGAGAGTGCACCTAAGTTTTATTCTATGCTATTGCCACAAATTACTAAACAATTGCAACTGTATAAAGACCAAACTTTCTTTATCTGATGTTATATTAATAAGCACTTGTTATGAGTGGGAAATATTTTTCGTGCAATATTTATTCTCCACACACCACCTCGCGAGATCGACGTGGAGCTGGACACTTACAGTACACAGTGAGACCCTACGGCATAAAAGTTGCAATTTATCTTCATATTTCGTGTAGTTATGCATTTAAAAGCACTTACCTGTATTTTGACAACCTTATCCAACGTTATATCCTCTGCACTCAATACATTGTACTTCTCTCATTTTAACGAACTTTTGACTGCGTTTCTGTTTATGTCCTCTCGAAACGATAGACGAAGGCACCTTTTCCGACAAACGAGATTTAAACGAGACCGTAACAGAGATAGGCACCCATTGTTCTCTGGGTTCTATTCATTCCGACCAATGAGAGACCGTAAAACGGGCTCCGCCCCCACGCGTGTAATCTCCTTCTGTTATAACTCCTTGATTCTAGGTGAAGAAATATTGAATGGCATTTCAAGTGAATTCTAACTGCAATATGATTGCATTCTAAATATTCTTAGGGCATGCTAACTGCATTCGAAACATTCCGATCGCGTTCGAGGGAGAACCGAAATGGCAAGACACTTCAAATCCTGCTAGAATGAGCCGGAATGCAACTCGAATCCTATTTCAGCCGGCAATCGAACTACACTCGTTCGGCATTCGAAGAGTATTCTAAATATTCTGACTGCTTTCTGACAGCGTTATCCATATTCCTAGTTTTCCAACTACATTCGAGCTGCATTGAAAGCTAATACAGCCGAAGTGTGCACGAATCATTCCAGGCGGATTCAAAAGCATTCTGAGTATTCGAACGGCATTCTTACAAGAATTTAGGTCAATTTGAAATTTACTCCCGAATGTAGTACGAATTTTGAAAATTCTTCACTCCCACTGGTTCTGCTTGATTCCTGCTCAATTAGAATGCTCTGCTTTCAGCAAAGAGCTTTCCAGCGATAACGTGACGTTGGTACCACGTGGTTAAGCCGTGGCTATGACGTTATAATGTGGTAGCAACGTGCCAGCCACGTGATCCGAACGTGACGTGTTTGCTGGGTTACAGCTTACAGACTGAGTATTAGCGTAACTAAAAGAGAGCCCCGGATTCAGTGCTGAAAATTTCGACAAAAGTGAAGAAGCCTCAATCAACCAGTAATATATACATGTATGTATGTCCACATGTTCATTGTATTGATAGTGTCTGCTTCACGCATTTATTAGGAAATTTATCCTACCGCGTTTGTTGGTATATTCTGCTATTATTTATACACTCAATCTATACAATCAATAGCTCAACCCCCACCTTATCAGCTTCCAGAATTGCCTTCCCCTCACTTTTCTTGGCTCCATTGAGCCGCGCCATCTCCTCGTCACCACACGGACCCTTCCATTGTGTGTTGGCGTATATCTCTTTCACCTTCTGATAGTCCGCTTGGTACTTCCCGTACCCCCGGGCGCCTGTGTAGTGGCCAGCCTGGACCTTCTTTGCAATATTGGCATACGCGTTATGCAAATCCTTTCTACACTTATCCCATGAGACTTTCTTGTTCTGCTCCACAAATTGCGTATAGAGTGACAACAGGGACTCCTACAGGATAACAAATACATACTCTATCGGTTAAGATATTATTAGGCATCTGTTACATGTTTACATCGTTAACTTTCCTTTGTTATTGACCACATAACAGGTAGCGTCTTTTATTTGGTAAGCATTAAGGGCATTTCTTTTGCCGTTGATAACACTCACTTTGGTACACTGTTATATGATTCTGAATTCTATTCTTTACAAGATGCTTACTTGTAATTTCGTTTGAAAAATCCCCTCAGTTTCAAATACAGCTATACCCTTGTAAACACACAGGGCTTCCTCATTGGCCTGCTCGTGGAGGCTTGATAACTCATGGAGAAAAAGGGGCATGTTCGGTACAGTGTTGTTCTCCATCGTTATTCTGTAGTGTTTCACACTCTCCTCCAAGGCCCTCTGGCACTCCACCTGCATCATGGTCCCCACTGCGGTACCAATACATGGTACGGCACCAGAGTTGATGGCTTGCACGTACGTTTCTGCTAAGGATGCGTACTCTATTTGAAAGAAAAAAGTATGACTACATGTAGATCAAGACTATCATCAAATAGATTATTAGTCACCTGGCGAAATCTACACCTGTATTTATCTAGTTTACATATTGCACTTTAAGACCAGGAATTAATGTTGCTTGTAAAACATGGATTATCATTAAACAACTATGAAACGCATAATTTAATAATGGCAAAAACTGTAACATGACATATTTTATTGCACGTGCACGAACTCAACAATGTCAAACAGAAAGATAGACAACATTAACAAAATAAAGAACGAAGTACTTACTTCTGCCGTTTATCGGATTTCCCTGCACTTTTAAACCACCCGCGTCAGTACAGACAGATAGACGCAGCAACACCTCATCTTCGAGTGGTTTTTGGAGGACAAAGCAATTTCTTTGGGGGAAACGATTCCGGATACACTCCCTGGCGTTGGAGTCAAAAATGGTTCTGCTCTTGCCTTTTCTAAATTGCAAGGCGCTCTCAAAGTACTCGTTAGGATTGCATGCTCTTCGGTCGATTTTGAGCTGAAGGGCGAGGTCACGTGCAACCCATATGAATTGCAGAAAGTACTTGCTGAATGATTCCCCTATCTCCTCGCTGTTTCCGGTTTGTACTTCAATATGCTCTGCCAATTCTGCAACCAACCTGCTATTTAAGGTATTCAAGGAAAATATTATTTGTATCAGAATGTATTAGCATGAATTAGACATACGGCACTATGCTTTAAAAAAGTACAGGTATACAGAATCAAGCACGTGTTATTTTTTCGTTGCTGTTTCATATTGTTCTTTTTATACATGTATTAAAGGATACTGCAGTTTTCTGATGGTATCGCCTTCAGTGGTTCCTTGATCGTTGTAGACGAAGCAAAAAAGAACTGCCAGAGGGAAGAATTGACTGTCATAAGACGAATCCCCGTTTTTCACATCATAGAGGCCCTCGGTGTTAATGTAACTATCCCTTGGGTGGGGCCGGGCCCGGATCCAGCTCCCCTTGGTTTTAGACTGGACGGTGCTGCCCAAGTCGAACCCAGAGTTCTTGCCGTAAAGCCTGTTCATCAGATAGGACTTGCCCGTGTGGTATTTGCTGACGATGACGACTACGGACAACGGTTTGTCTATGTTCAGCAGGCCCTTTTTAGCTCCTTCGTCGATGGTAAACTTGCGTCCGTCACCACACATTGTGATCAAGGGCAGTGGTTTGTCCATAACGTCATGTGTCTACAGAACAGAGGGAATACTAGATCTTTAATTTTACCCTTAACTCACATACAATGAAGCAATGGATTGCCCACCTTGAAATCCCGGCGTACTAATTTGTGTAAAATGTTAAATGCGGTTTGAGAATTACTAGCCAATAGATTTTAATCTGTGTGTGTCCAGGAGAAAACCAGACAAAATGTAGAGAATGCGGCAAGGTGGGGGTGAACGGATTTACACCATATTTGGTGTGTTTGAACCTTTATATGAACAATATCTGAGGCTGCAATATTTCCTGAAACAAATCCCTACTTACAGAGATATGGCCAGTGACATTTTGGGGAGGTTATCAACCAAAAATTCTTCTGAAAAACAGGGTTATATTGATTGACCTTAAAGTTTATACAGGTGTCACTAAATGATTTAGTTTGGTGAAATATTATAACCTAAAGATAGGGGATTAAAATGATATGCACTTTTTTCACTCTCTTTGTTTCCATGGTAACAAACCAAGCGTTTTTCTCAGGCTTACAAACCACATGCTTTGAACACCCCCCTTCTATTTTTGAGAATATCTTCATCTTCACAGGTCTTTGGGGTAAAGCGTGTTCAGGACTAACAGATAACTCATTTATCTATTTATACATGAAATCAAAATTTACTGCTGTTCTACAACTTGTCCGTTGTAACAGATAGAACATGACCTAATTTCTTCATTTTTCGTAAATATATCCGGACACATATATCGGTGCACTCAACTTCAGCTATCTCTTTCAAGTCAACAAATGGTTTAAAACACTGTTAGTTGAGCTTTTTATTTTCATTTTACCTATTCTAATTTTTTCTGGTTAAAACAAGCATCTAACACATTTTAAAATCATGTGAAACTAATGTACTAACGTCAGAACAACACAACGTCATTATCCAACATGGCGGAAATCGCAGACTGTTTCTTTGCAAATCTTCCTCAACGAAGTCGTATATCATGTGGTTTATACTCTGTCTACAGATATGAAAAAACATGTAGTGTATTGAAAAATTGCAGCAGAGATATTAACAGTCATCTCCGTCGCGTTTACGTGAAGCAAAACAGCGTGAGTTACGAAAGCAAACTGATTCTTGTCAGGTGTGGATTCTTTTGTCTCCGATGACCGCAATTGGACATTTTCAAGTATCTTTGGGAGAATGAATGGGTTACATCATTTGACCAGCACAGGGATATGGGCTTGGTTTGTGCTGGAAACCATCCACACAGGGAAAAACGAGCCTATAACGAAACATGCCATGGGATTAACTTGCAGATGTCACTGTAGACAAAAAGCCATTTGAATGTCACTTGGTTCAGGTAAGAAACGGGTTTGTTTGTATTTTAAAACAGGCTAAAAGCCAGAAAAAAGTTCACTCAGAAAAATGATCTAGGTGTAATTTTTTAATGGTAAACGGTCCATTTTTTTTCTTTTTTTTTCTTTTTTTTTTCTTTTTTAAAGAAAAATTCCCCCTTTCAAATAATGAAATTGCAGCTTAAGGACCTGTGATAATTCTTTCTTCTAAGCTATATTTGTGTGGGTATTTATGTAGGTTTAAGGGTATTTGGGTAAAATAAATTTAAGGGTAACAATTGGAATTAGATTGAAGCTCTAAGGGCGGGTCTTGGCAAAATTGCTAGGCTCATCATAATTTATATTCGAAACCATGTCTTACTTATAAAACATGGACAAATGGGATAATAATTTATTTTTCATCAATGTATCAATTAACTTTGAGATAAGTGTTTTCATGTGTCTATAGTAAGCTATATTTATATTTCAGGCATATTTGAGAAGTGTTATTTGACACACAGTGATCTTATGGTCAGCAAAAGAGTCCAAAGCCTTGCAGAAACTGAAACTAGTGTGGAAATGACGGATGTTGTAGAAAGGCATGTATGTAAATGAAAGCCACAATATAACAAATGCTGAGGAGATGCATGATCCTTGATCAGTTTTAATATGAGTGATACTGATGTTAAAGTTAATTTGGGTTTTTCTGAGGCAAATGTGCCAACTGGGACTATACCGAGCAAGATCACATACAAAAGAATTTTTTTTTTTGTCCAGAGAAGTCTTCTCTGAAATCTTTGGCTACCAAGACTGAAGGGTAATTGTAAGGTCCTTTTTTTTAGACCACAGGTATAAAATGTGCCAAAAACAGCTTTTGATTAAATTAAAGTTTAGTGGGCCAACCAGCTGACTAAAGAAAAACTTTAAGCACATCAGCCGTGAGAGAACTCCACCCTCTTGAATATCTCACTGAGTTACACAATGGATGAGCTTTAAAGTCATCTAAACCTTTGAAACTATATTCAAATAAAGTAAAGGAGTTTTTACTGAAGTAGTTTAGAAGGGTACAAGAAACAGGCCAGCAGAACCTAGCATTTGTGAGCATGAAGATGAGAATGAAATGTCAGTAAGGAGGGTTACAGACTATTCAGGAAGAAAAAATCGGCAGTTATTTTTGAATGTACTAATAACTTTGATGTTATGAGCTGTAATGTTTGATATAAAACTGCAAAGATGTTTCATAACACCAGGATATATTTTGCAGTTGTGTTAGTTTTGCTTTTTGTATAGAAAATTATCTTGTTTTGCTGCATTATGGTATAGTTTGTAATGATCACAACTAATGTTGCACTGCGTTGCATGTATTGCTGTATTATAATTTTGTGATTGTTTTTGTATTATTTGTAAGTATTCATCTGAGACAACAATAAACTAATTTGAATAATTTTTTAGTTACTGTATGCTCATAAATAGTCACCAAAAAGTGGTGTGGATGATTTAAAAAAAAAAAAAACTCTTGAAAATTAAAAAATATTTGTTCTGGCTTTGCTCTCATAAATACTGTGGCATATCCTGATCTCTATATGATAAATATTGCACCAAAGAGAAATCGCTACTAAACTAAGATTTTAATTTGTATTCACTAAATTGATGATATTAAAAATATATTTATTAAAATTATCATGTAAACTCTCAAGTTAATTGCCAGTGCCTATCCAAAGTAATAGAATCTAAAATAATTTTCTCTAAACTTTTTGTCCATACAAATTAAAAAGTCCATATATGGCAATTTACAAATATGAAGCCCAGTGACCTTGACCTATGACCCACTGACCTGATATTCATTAGTACACATCCACTTTCCATGCTCACCAGACCTATTAATTTAGTAACATCATTGTAGAGCAAAATGGTTTAATAAATTAATCAAACCCATTGTCTACATAGACTTGAATGAATCCACCACGATTTTTTGCCTTAAAAATGGCCAACTTTGGGGGTATTTTTCAGTACCTGTTTTAATACAGCAGTAACTTTTGAAACTTTATTTGGAGTGATCCATATCTGCCTAAAATATTCATGAAGTTTTATAGCTGTAAACCCTGTGAAGATGGAGATATATGCAATTAAAGATGGTAGTGTCAAAATTGGACTTTGGGGGGAGGGGTGTTATAAATGGGTGTGGCTCGCCCAAGCAGGGTCTTAACTGAATTCTACATATATCTGTGGCAAGCCAAATGATTGTTTTCAATGTTTGTAAGGTCTAATATTTTTTAGTTTTCTCCATTTTTGTTTAATTTACACAAAATATATCATTATTTTTCCAAGGTAAAAATGGAGTCTCAAAGAGGCTACATAAGCCATGACTTATAATGGGCTATATTTCTCTGAAGAAAGGATATTTTTGGGATTCCTTCCTAACTCATGAATAACTTCCTAATATGCCTCCATACAACAAATTTGGTTGAAATCCGCTGACCCCCACCTTGCCACCCTGGGCTGGTTCTCTCGTGGACAAGCTCAAAATAATGAATTACTTGGAGGAGCTAGAACGCGGCCAAGTAATAAGAGACAGCCACCCTAATTCCACTCCAAGAATTTCTTACAAAAGGTACCAATCGTTTAGAAGTACAAGATCTGTGGATACATAAAACAATATATAATAGGCGTTTCCTACAAGTGAAAGCAGTTAAACTGACACGACCTTTGTCATAAGACTTTTAAAAATATTAATAATAAGCTTTGCTGAATCTTTACTTACGCTCGATCTTGACAGGTGCACAACAATTGATGAGAAGTGCGCACTGTGTAACACTAATTCAAGACAACATCATTGCCTCGACAATACATTTATCAATATTAGTTTTAACAGCAAAGTTTTATACATTTGCTTTTTAAATAGATTCAAAGAATTCAACAGATACAAAGAAATTTGCAACCAGTAAGTAATCCACCAGCTAACCAGCAGAAAGGTCAAATACATGTAGTTAGGTCTTAAAGACAAAAACAGAAGAGACGCCATTGGTTTTTGGGCAAAACTAGAGGAAATCAAAGATAAAATCAGAAATACTATAAATGATCTAAAAGACATTGTCCAAGAAGTGATCGCCAAAACTGTGACTAAGCGTTTGCTTAACTTTTAACACAAAATTAAAAAAAAAAACAAGAATATAATGTACAACGGAGGTCTAAAGGAAAGAATTGATTCACTGGAAATGGAAAACGATGCACTTCGTGAACAACTAACTAGTGAAGAAGAATCTCTAAGAAAACTGAGGAAAAGAAAGGGAAGAAGCAACCTACACAGCAAACAGAGCTTTTAAAATGGCGAACTAAAATTAATTATATTCCCGGAAAAACAATATAGAGCCCTTCAGTGTAATATTTGTGCTGAAGAAAAGGATGTCAAGAATCGCTACTGCTAAACTTTTCCATAGCAACGACAAACGATATAGAAACATTTTTACCACACTGCTTGAATGGCTAGTAAATTTATTTCATCATTATTATTCTCGTTAATGTTCATTTCGATGCTCATTTTAACTGACTGAATTTAATTTTAATACTATATATATGGACACAAATGGACAGCATGCTGACATAATTGCAAAGAAAGAACAATTCATATAAAACGCGCAGTAAACCATGAGAGACATTTTATTACAGAACTGCAAAATATCAAGAGTTAAAATCCAGTATGATGGGACCTGTTTATATGTCTTGTCCCTCGATCAGTTTTTTTAAACTAAGGTTCATGCATGCATACACAAACTTACCTTGTCTTTACTGCAGGATTCAGTTCTGGCTTGATTGAGTAGAGCTGTTAAATTTCTGTGGCCGCCCTTGACAGCGTAATGAAGAGGTGTACGTCCATCCTGTAGATACACAATGGTTTCATTAAATGATATATCCTACAGAAAGTTGTACAAAATGATTTAACCTACAATTGCAAAACAAAGAGGCACATTGAATAAAAAAATTTAAACATATGTTCGACCATACGGCAAAATACCTTTCTGCAGGTAAAAAAACGGCACGTTCATCATTTTAGTTTTGAACATACAGGGTGTATCAAAAGGTGAACAATTTGAAAAATACCCAGAATTAAAATTTTTTATTTTATATAACAAATGTAAATGTACATATAGGTTCGTAAGGAAGTCATGATTCAATGGCTATCGTGTCTTTTCACGCATGTCTGAGCAGGGTCAAATTACTTCATAAGGATAAATTTTTTATATTGATAACTTTTTTTCGCAAAAGGTTGATTAATTGCCATGAAACGGTCTTGTTAATGGTTTTCAAATGAAGAACCTGCCAATAAACCTCTTGTTCCCTGCTATCTGCCACTTATGTTCTTTTGTCATGAACATCCAATGTTACAAGAACTTCTCATCTTCTCCAGAAGTTTCAACCAAAGCAGCATATCGATATGCACAGTTTGAACGTACTTGTTTGATAAGTTAAAAGTCTTCAACATGCTGTCCGTTTCAATCGTCTGATGGAGTTGTTTGGCGACCAAGTTACCACTTTGCATCTTCAGGTGGAATGGCCCCCAGAGTCACCTGATTGACCCCACTGGGCTTCTTCTGGTGAGGTAACCTCAAGTCCAAGGTGTACTTAACCCCACCACGAGACTTGGATGACCTTGAGAGGCGTATTACGGATGAGGTGGATGTTCTGCGATGGGATAGAGTCATAGTATGGAGTGCACTTTATGGCATGAGAAAAGCCCAAATCTGCTTGGACAAAAATGGACAGCATGCTGACATTAGAGTACTATTTACTGTTGGACACGATAGAATATGCAATGGGGGTGCCACTTGCGATAAACACGGTTTGGCCATGCCATGAGGAGCTTCCAGTTTGGCTAGTTTCATGGGCACAATTTGTTATTTTGAACCAACCAATGGTTAGAAGAGGACTCAACGAGGTAATCAGATGGCAAATAATAGGAAGCCATCTTGCTGGAGTGCCAAAGAGACAGATTGCAAGGCAACAAAAAAGCAGTACCAAGTCAAGTGTCCAAGCTGGTAGCAAAATGGCGCCAAACTCAGCATGTATTGGACAAGCCTCTTTCTGGTAGACCAATATTAACCGACGCAAGAGATGAAGATATCTGGTTCGATTATGCCACCAGGACCAGTTCATTTCAGCCAAACAATGAAAAATTGCCACCATACGTCATTCAAGGTAGGCGCCCTGGTCAACAATACAGAGACGAAATACCATTGGGGTGCATACAATCACACATTCAAGCAAATCCAGAAAGAAAAATCATTTTGGTGCAGGACAATGCGCCCATCCAGAAAGCATGGTCCGTGCAAGACGCGCTGCAACAGCGCGGTATCCCACATTTGGATTGGCCTGCATATTTACCAATTTTCAATGTAATCGAGCATGCTTAGGATATGATTGACAGGGCAATAAATGAGAGACAACCTCCAGTTAGAAACATTAGAGAGGTCCAACAGGCAGTAAATAAAGAATGGAACCGGCTCTCAAAGAAAGACTGGCAGAATTTGGTGGCAAGTTGCAGGAGACAATGTGAAGCTGTTGTTCAAAACCAGGGAAAGCACACCCGATATTTATTGCATAATAGACGATTAATCATATATTATCTACAGTCTTCTTTTATTAAAACTAATTCTTAGATGATCGAACTTTATCTTTTTATAATAAGCTGTTTTAATCAGCACGTCCTTTTTGCTGTGTGAGCATACTTTTTTGACACATGGTTTGGCATATTTTAGTACCGTTTGGTTAATAAAGTCATTTTGATTATTACAATAAGCTGTGTGGTGTATTTCTTTAACCGAAATATTTAACTTGAATGAGTTATTTATAAAATATGAAAGAAATATGCATAATCCCACCAACAAATGAAATAATGATCATGATAGAAGAAACTTTTGAAAAAATCGGAGTGTTGCTTAACTTATGAGCATCAGTGTATGTATTTCATGCAGTGTACACAAACCTACCCTGTCCTCAGTGCTGGGATCAGCTCCAAACTGCAAAAGCAGAGCTACTACATCTCTTTGACCACCCTCAGCAGCGTAATGAAGAGGTGTGTGACCATTCTAAAGATAAACATTATGTTCAGTAACCAATATATCTTACACACAATTGGACCAAGTGTTTAAGGAATAATTGTTACATTGTGATTTATAGGAAATCTAACCAAAGTAAAAATACACTAGACCACCAACAGCAATTCGGCAAAGATGCAACATATCTCACAGTTCATTTTAGTCTCTTGTAAATATACGTCATACAGTGTGTGAACCAGTATGTCCATGAAGTGATGCAATACTAGTTATGTTATTTTTCGTGATCTCATCATACGATCATATGGTGTATTTTAAAAGGTATACATAAAGTCCACAACAGATTCAGGTATCATGTTAGAGGATTCAAATGCAATGTTTGCAAATGATTATTTTAAAATGTTAAATTACAAAGTATTGACCTCATAACGTATGACTGCATAATGTAAATAAATAGGTTGTGGATAGGAGCTATATTTCAAGTTACACACAAAAACCTACCCAAGCCTTACTGCAGGAATCAGCTCCGTGATGCAAAAGCAGAGCTGCTACATTGTTATAACCACACTGAGCAGCGTAATGAAGTGGTGTACAGCCACCCTGAAGATACATAATGTTTGTTTTCAGGGGCCACTGTAGGAACAGATGTACCGAATGATTCAATGAATAATCACAAAACGAAAACACGTGGAGCTGAACAAATTTGAAAGTATGTTTGATGAACTCAACTGCCTTAAAGCAAGACGGTCCTTATCATTTTAGCAAACATTTTAGCAATATGTGTACCAGTCGGCCTGTATAAAAAAAAAAATAAATCAATTAACAGTTTTTCAGTAACTGTGCGTTAATTTCATTCTTACAAAAATATAAAACATCAGTAGCTACATAAACGTATCATTTAAGTATTATATGATAAACATATAATATTTACCAATGTAAATGATATTTTGATGTTTAATCACTGAGTACTGACCTCATAGCTCCATAAAAAATTATTATAGAGATCAACTTACATTGTCTCCACAGCAGGGATCAGCTCCGTGCTGAATGAGTAGAGCTGCTACATTGTTGTGACCGCCCACAGCAGCATGATGAAGTGGTGTGCGACCAAACTGAAGAGTCACAATGTTTTCAGTTAACAACATACTTTGCAGGAATGTGTACCAAATTATTAAAAAAGCAATAAAACAGTTATGTGCAGTGAATAAAAACAAATTAAAATACATTTGACCACCAACAGCAGTACAGAAAGGACGGTGGACACCTACCGGTAACAATATACATGTACCTCACATTCGCAAGATAAATATGCGTACCATTAAAACATTAGAGAATTCACATGCAACGTTAACAAATAGTGAGTTTAAAGTGTTCACTTGCTAAATACTGGTCTCATTAAGTTTGACTGCAAAATGAAAACAAACAGATGATGTAGTCGAGTAGCCAGAACGCTAACCCTGCAATGTTTTTTACTGTAAACTTTTTTTGCTGAAATGCATTCTTTAGGTCAAGAGAAGCAAAATTAGCTTGGTTGCTATTTCCGAGACATTGAGCATTCTTCAATATGGCCGTCAATTTATGAGGATAAATAGAAAAACGACCAGAAGTCGCCGGGTAAACTTTATTGACAGCTTTTTTGAACGTGTATCCTATCAGGAGAGCACAACAGTACTAGTGGATACACTGAAGCCCGTTACATATAGCAAAAAAAGCCAAAATGACCGTCAAAACATATGGCAGTATGTAAAATAGCTGCAAAATTTAGTCTTATTAAAAACATATCCGCATTTTCTATTTATGTTCATTATGATAATTTGTTAGTCATGATCCTAAACTCTCAGAAACTGCTTATTTGACATTGGATGGTGGCAGACGGTGCCATCTCCTGAGTCCATTTGCCACTCCCACGAGCCCCATAGTCAAAGCTTGCTATGTTATATCTTGCAAGCTTTTTTAAAAGAAATTATTTCATCTGGGTTACAAAAATTAGAAAAGCTTATAAGCTTGACTTTATTTGCCAGTTGATGCGTACGAGATATTGATAATTTTTCAAAATTCAAGATGACCGTCAATTTGTTATATGAATAGCGAGAGCCATACATTCAAATAAAAAAAAATAATGCTTCACTCCATTGTTCACCATTGCATATTTATATTTATATCCACGCAAAGTGCGATCGTTTATTTCATTTTTGCAAGTTAATTTAATAAAAATGGCATCCAAAACATAATGGAAGGGCAAGGACACAACTGTAAATCTACAAGACTTTTAACTGAAATAGGCTTTACCTGGAACAAATGTAAATACATATATAAAGTAAAAAACGATATACATGCGTTCAAGACATAGCACACAATAAAACATATTTTTAGGGTAAATGATACGTAAAACGAAAACCAATTTGTCCATCAATGCTACTCTATGATCAAACCAAACATTGATTGCGGATTTCTCAGTCCTGACAACTAGTTTTTCATTCTAAATCAAAAATTACTTTGTGGATGATTTAATGAAAGACATTATCATTCTAGTATGTGTAAACTAAATCACTGTGAATTAAAAAAAGGCATGGAATCGTTTTTCTTCAGGTTGGATTATCCTTATCCTTTTTTTGTAAACTTTTTAAATATTTAAACTCCTATGGGTAAAGTCATTTTTGTTGTTTAATAATGGATTTTATTATAAATAAACTAGATAGAAGCAGGGTATACATAGTATACATAGAGTCAACATCATACCAGGATCTCTACATCAGGTTGACCCGTTCACATTCAGCACAAATGATCCAAGTGTATCAGGAGTCCCAACGGTGGATGTCCTACCCCGGCCTGTCTATTCTCCGGATATGAATCCGGTTGAACACTTGTGGTACTACAAGTCCTCCGTTGGCCAAGGCAGCAGCTGATCCAGGCACTACGACAAGACTGGAATAGGATTCTGCACGACACCATCCCGTTTATTGCCCCAGCATGTGCCAACGGATTGCTGCCTACATCGAAGCAAGCGGAGGTCGTACCGGCCATTGACCGTTGTGACTTTGTGTTGAGCTGGTGCCACTTTTGTTTTGAAACTATTCATAGAACTTTAGATTTTTGAATCTGTACAACAATGTCTTAAACAAATGATTCATATGAAAATAATCCAGTTTAGAGCTTCAAAATAACAATTATTTTGAAAAATATGTCCTCAAAGATTTTAATGGCTGTCGGTATATAACCAAAAGATTTGTATAACGTTTCGTTTATTGACTCTCTAAAATGTAAAGTGAAAAAAAAGTGGAGTAATAAGAAAAACTAGAAATGCTATTATATACTGATGAAATATTCTTACACGTGCCAATCCTAATTAAAAGAATGGGAAGTTTTAAAGCTAACCCAGCAGACAAACGACATTGATTCACTGTTGAATCAACGTTAATTTTGGTGGATCAACATTGAATCGACGTAGAATCAATGTCGTTTGCCTGCTGGGAAATTTTATGTACATACTGAATAAAGTTACGATCAAGATATAAAATCAAAATATTAGGGTATGATCAATATAAAAACAAAAACAAAAAAAAATAATAAGGTTAATATTTGGCAAAAGTTAAATTAAATTACACCCCCCCTCCCGTCCTCACCAATGGACTTGGTTGGACTCCATGTAAATAAAAGAGTCCCGATTGCTGATTAACATTTTGGACTCCCTGTGCCCCAAATCCTGCAGAAGCCCCTGTTGGCCCTTGATAAAATTTTCATTAGACTGAGCCTGTATTAAAAAGAGAACTTACATGACGGTTAGTCCTATCAATGATCCTCTTTTTAGAGTCTTAGTATACTTGTACCTTCCAAGTACACTTTGTCAATAATTAAAGGGTTTGATATATATCTTATACGCTAATTATCAGTTAAAAACGTAATTTAACTGTATTTTTTAAAAATCTTTTTGGGCACGTTTTAGCGGTCAGTTGAAATGCGGAATACCATGTACTTTAAATCCGACTCTTTGCTATTTTGCATAATTATTTATTTATGATATAATGATTTTATAATATATTTTCATATTATTGACGGCCATCTTAAATTTTGAAAATTGATCAACGTTCTGCTTTTTTTTAATCTCTTTGGGCACGTTTTAGCGGCCACTTGAAATTCGGAATACCATGTACTTTAAACCCGACTTTTTGCTCTCTCTCTCAAGTGCCTTGTCCCATTAGGACGTTGGCGATCATGGACTTCCACCTCTTCCTGTCCTTTGCGGTCTTCAACAGGTCTAGCTCCGCTATTCCTGTCCACCTACGTATGCTTGCTGTGTATGTTAATCTTTGCCTGCCCCTGCTTCGCTTTCCATTGACCTTGCCTGTCACACTAAGATGTTCCAGCTCTTCCTTCCGCATTACGTGTCCTAAAAATTCCAACTGTCTCTTTCGTATGCTTTTTAGAAGGAAACGCTTTGTTCCTGCTCTCTCCAACACTTTCTGATTTGTCATTCTCTCTGTCCAAGATATTCTCATCATTTTCCTGAGAAACCACATCTCTGCCGCTTCTATTTGTTGTTCTATTTTACATAATTATTTATTTATGATATAATGATTTTATAATATATTTTTATATTATTGACGGCCATCTTGAATTTTGAAAATGGATCAACGTTCTGGATGTAGCCACTGCCAAAAAAGCCCAAATTAAATTAACTTTTATACCCCAAAGTATTAAATTCTTAAAAATATTACAGGGAATAACATTCTAAGTAAATTATAACGGGACCCGGGAAAGTAGCAAACTGACTCTTGGGGGGTTATTGAACTGTCAGATAAGCTTATTCCGAGAGTTTAGGGTCATGACTAACAAAATATCATAATTAACATAAATAAAAAAGCAGATATGGTTTTAAATAAAACTAAATATGCAAAAAACGAACTGAATCTGCAGCTTTTATCACTTTCTGCCTTATGTTTTGACAGCCATTTTGGTTTTTTGCTAAGTGGTACGCGCTTAAGCGTATTCACTAGTACTGTTGTGCTCTCCTGATAGGATACACGTTCAAAGCTGTCAATAAAGTTTACCAGGCAACTTCTGGTCGTTTTCTATATTTCCTCATAAATTGACGGCCATATTGAAAAATGCTCAATGTCTCGGAAATAGCAACCAAGCTAATTTTGCTTCTCTCGGCCTGAAGAATGCATTTCAGCAAAAAATGTTTACAGGAAAGAACATTGCAGGGTTCGACTATTGGGCCTATGGGAGTGGCGACTCGACTAATGCGGAGGAGCTATATTTCAAGTAACATAACCTACCGAAGCCTTACTGCAAGCATCAGCTCCGCACTTATAAAGTAGAGCTGCTGCATCGCTGTGACCACCATCAGCAGCACAATGAAGGGGTGTACAGTCATCCTGGAGATACCAAATGTATTCAGTAACATATGTATTATCCAGTCAGATGTGCCAAATGTTTTTGAACAATTAAGGATATTGTAACACTAGTCCTTAACTTACCTTAATTAATATTTAGACATATGTCATCTTACGGGTGATGTCATAATTGCGATTTAAGGGATAAAACTGAAAAGTTCTTCGTATTTCTCCTTTAGCTAAGCACCCATGATCACCGTTTCAACACCAACTTAATGACATCATTTACTTCTCCAAAACATTGTCAATGATTTTTCTTAGAAGCCTTAGTTAGGATTTTATAAAGCAAAATGATGTCTATGTTTAATGCAAAATCTGTAATTAGGGACTCATAACTTCAGGACAAAAATGTTAACCAAAATGATGGCACAGGATTGTAGCCCATGTACTCATGGTAAACTCTGCCCATTTTCGTGATAAAATCTTGTTCAGGAATGTGTTGGGGGTGGTATATATATATATATATATATATATATATATATATATATATATATATATATATATATATATATAAGTGACTTTAAATCACATACCAGGCAGGCGAGACACCTACCTTCCTATCAGAGACAATCGTTGCTCATAATAAAGGCGAAAAACCTAACACACTCTAAGAGCCGCTGTCATTTCTGCAAGGGGCGCTGTAAGAACACACGCCCTCAGAGGCCCAGCTCTGAATCGTGTTCTTTTGGTAAAGTGGAATCTAACTAGGACATGAGCCCACCACCCCCAACACTCATGTTATATCCCATACCGAGTGCTATTTAACCTCAAAATACAGGTAGAAAGGTGTAAAATTGACTATTAAAGCTTTGCATTGTCTATATGCTTATACATTTGAACGAGAAATATAAACGCCGATATTTTATATTTTCCAGCGTTTTTTTTTCATTGTTTTTAATCAGCACAAACATTGATGCAGGAAACACTTCATTTTCGCTATCTGGATGATAAAAATAAGGGGTAATAATATTCTTAAAATAAAGTAATTTATACGGAATAGAGCAAAATTTGAATTACATTAGACTACCAACAGCAGATCAGCAAATATCTGTCACATTTCACAGTTCATTATTTTGGTCCATTGAGTAAATAAATCACACAGTGTGTGATTCAGTGTGTCGATGAAATGATGGAGTCTACTGTTTCCGAGTTATGTTATTTTTCGTGAACTCACCAAAGGGAAATAACAAGGACTATTTCAAACAATATACATTAAATCCGTAAATGATTTAGGTATCATTAAAATATCAGACAATTCACATGTATCATTTACAATTGATAATTTTAAAATGTTAAATTAATAAGTACTGATCACATAAGGTATGTCTGCATATTGAAAATTGAAAGATTACGGGAAAGAGCTATATTTCAAGTAACATACACGAACGTACCCAGGCTTTACAGTTGGGATCAGCTCCATGCTGAATGAATAAAGCTATTAAATCGATGTAACCACCCTCAGCAGCGTAATGAAGTGGTGTACGATCATTCTGAAGATACAAAATGTTTTCAGTGCCTGAAATATCTCAGACAAATGTAATAAATGATTCAATGAACAATAACAAGAAGGAAACACGTAAAAAAATTGAATGTATGTTCGATAAATTAAACTGCTTATTAGCAAGACTATTTTTATCAGTTTAGCAAATTGAATACATATATCATACGATGTGTGTACCAGTATGCCACTGTAGAAATGGCAGCTAACAGTTTTCAGGTTATGTTATTTTTATGAACTTATAACATAAAACATTGGGCTATTAAAATATTATTCAAAATCCATAATCAAACGTAAGCTAGATACCCGTATTATTCAAGTAAAAGATACACAAATCATCATCATCATCAGTGCTCTTCGTCCCGTGTGGGACATAAGGCCACAGTCACTTCCTTCCATTTGGCCCTGTCTCTGGCTACGTCCTGGGCCTGTCGCTATGTAAGCCCCCCCCCCCCCTCCCTCAGCTCTGCCATCACTGTTCGGCGCCAGGTGGTCTTGGGCCTTCCTCTCTTTCTTTTTCCGGGTGGTGTCCATCTCAAAGCTACCTTTGGTACTCGGTTCTCCTCCATCATAAGTACATGGCCGAGCCATTTAAATCGCCGTCGCTTGATCTGCCCTACAATACTCTGGCTCCCTGTCAGTATGTACAGGTCATGGTTGGATATCTTATTTGGCCAGAATATGCGGCAGATCCTGCGGAGACACCTGTTATGAAAGGACTCTACTCTGCTCATGTCAGACTTTGTAACTCTCCAACATTCAGACCCGTAGAGCAGAACAGACTTCACATTGCTGTTGTAAAGATGGACTTTGGTGTGTAAGCTGTACTGCTCTGACTTCCAGATTATGCGGAGTCTAGCGAATTAACTCTGGGCCTTGCCAAGTCTTGCCCTGATGTCCTTCTGAGCCCCGTTGTCTTTGCTGATTAGACTGCCCAGATATGTGAAGTCGTCGACAGACTCAAGTGGTTTCCCACTGACGGTAATAGGTGCTGTCGTACTGTTGTTAATGCACATGACCTGGGTTTTGATGGTGCTGATGGCAAGTCCCGCTTGTGCAGCAAAGCTACTCAGACGGTCAGTCTTCTCCTGGAGATGGCTGTGTTTGGAGGACAGGAGGGCTAGGTCATCGGCAAAGTCAAGGTCTTCTGGCTGGGATATAATAGGAGAGTCCACTGGATGCCTCTGGGTTTGTCGGATGTTGTCTTTCTCATGACCCAGTCGATGGTTACAAGGAAGAGAATTGGGGACAAGATACAGCCTTGACGTACACCTGAATCCACTGGGAACCACTCCGTCAGGGTATTGTCCAGGATAACACTACATTGGAAGTGGTTATAGAACATGCTGATTAGAGTGATAATCTTAGGTGGTACACCATATGACAGCAGTATTTTCCACAATGTCTCCCGATGCACACTGTCAAAGGCTTTCCTGAAGTCGACAAAGTTGATGTAAAGAGGCGTGTTCCACTCCAGGCACTGCTCGATGATGTTGCGCAGGGCGAAGATCTGATCAATGCATCCCCTGCCTTTCTGGAATCCTGCTTGCTCCTCTCTGAGTCTGGAGTCAATGGCTCGGTCAATACGCTTCAGCAGAACTCGTCAGAAGATCTTGCTGGGGATGGATAGGAGAGTGATTCCACGCCAGTTGTCACATTTATGGAGGTTGCCTTTCTTGGGGAGCTTTACAATGAGACCCTTTGTCCAATCGTCTGGTATCGTGTCCTTCTCCCAGATGGTACTGAAGAGGTCAGTCAGCAAGTTTGTGGCCATGCCAACATCAGCTTTCAGCATTTCTGCATGGATGTTGTCAATGCCAGAAGCTTTGCCGTTCTTCATAGCAATGATAGCATTCCTGACTTCCTCTCTGGTGGGCGGATCTGTGTTGATGTCCAGGATACCATCTGTGGGTGTGGAATTAGCTGGTTCACTGGGGCCAGGGTGGTTAAGGACCTCCTTGAAGTGCTGAACCCACCGTGCTGCTTGCTCACACTCTGTGGACATGGTGTTGCCATTCCTGTCTTTCACCGGAGCAGAATGGTTGTTGTTGTGGCTTCCGCTGAGCTGTTTGGTGATCTTGTAGACAGTACCCATGTCACCTTATGCTGCAGCCTGTTCAGCCTCACTAGCTAGCTTTTCCACAAAGGCTCTCTTGTCACTCCTAGCACTTTTCTTCACCTCCTTATCCTTGCTCTTGTAGGCTGCTCTGTCTTGTTCTACGAGCCTAGGGGATTTGGTGTTCAACAGCTTCTGTTTCAGGATTCTCCTTTCATCAATAAGCTTCCATGTTTCTGGTGTTAGCCTTTCCTTGTTCTTCTTCTTCTTGAAGCCAAGGACTGCTTCTGCTGTGGCGCAGTAAGTACTCTGGATGGTATCCCATTTCTGGCTGACATTGTCTGCTTCAATCCTATCTTCTCTTGCTAGAGTGCCGAAACGGTTCTTCAACTCGAGAACAAATGCAGTCTTGGTACGAGGACACTTGAGTTTGGAGATGTCCAGCTGTTTCCGCTTCCGTTGTTGACTCTGTGGAATGACCTTCCGGAGTTTCAGCCTGATGGAGGAGGCGACAAGGAAGTGGTCACTGTTGGCATCAGCTCCCCGGTAAGCTCGAACATCTTTAAGGGACTTTCGCCACTTGCCATTGATAATGATGTGGTCGATCTGGTTTGTTGTGGTTCCATCAGGTGATGTCCAAGTGAGCTTATGAATGGTCTTGTGCGGGAAAATGGTTCCTCCAATGACCAGCCTGTTGTTCATACAGAAGTCAACCAGGTGTTCCCCGTTCTCATTCATCACCCCACATCTATGGGGTTCCATCACTCTCTCAGAGTTAGAATTGTAAGCTCCCACTTTTGCATTAAGGTCACCAATGACTAGGAGTAGGTCATGCTGTGGGACTCTTGATACTGCCATTTGTAGTTGCTCATACCAGTCCTCCTTCACATCAGCCTCAGCGTCATTAGTTGGTGCGTAGCACTGAATGATAGTGAGTTTACAGTACTTTGAGTCAAAACGCGCTCTAACAATCCCCTCACTGATAGGTTCCCATTCCATGAGAGTTCTGGCCTTCTCTCGAGAGAGAATGATGGCTACCCCATGACTGTGTGTGCTCTCGTGTCCAGAGTACAGGATAAGTGAGCCGTCATTTGTCGTGAGACGCCCTGATCCTATCCAACGACATTCGCTGATACCCAGGATGTCTAGTCGGTATCTCTTCATCTCATTGATAACTTGAGCTGTTTTGGAGGTCTCAAACATTGTGCGGACATTCCATGACCCAACACGAAGGATGGATTTGGGCCCCAGTGCATCCGACTTCGCACTCCTGACTTCCGGGGGTGGGCTTTCATCAGAAGTGGTCATAGTGTCATGGTCTTGACTCGAATACACTGAGATCCTAATTGAAGTAGAAGTTTTTGTGGTTTCTGTAACAATAATTTGAACCGGGAGGGTTGTTGCCCCCCCCCGCGGCAGGTTTTATGTCAGGGTTTTCCGTCCCTTAGCCAGAGCCTCGTTAGCCTAGGCCCGCTAGGACCTAGTTTCCAGGGTGTACCACGGGGAGGAGAGGTTGACTTGAGTGATCTACGGGTCACCGGCAAGCCACTTAAATTTCACCTTTCGCCCTTACGGACTAGCCGGCCATAACAACACTGGATGTGAAGCAAAGCGCCTGAACACCCCTACACAAAACAAGTTTACATATGTTTTATTACTGAGTACTGTTCTAAACAGGTGCCGAATGACAACACAAAAAATTATAGAGATTAACTTACCCTGTCCACACAGCAGGGATCAGCTCCGTGCTGAATGAGTAGAGCTGCTACATCGCTGTGTCCACCCACAGTAGCATCATGAAGTGGTGTGCGACCATACTGAAGAGTCACAATGTTTTAATTAAACAAAATGTTTTATATAAAGGTGTACCAAATGATTAAAATGTACAATGACATTCAATGCAATCACTCCTGAAATACTTAATATTTTCAGTAACCAATGCATCTTACACAAAGATGAACCAATGTTTAAGGAACAATTAAAATAGTCATTTATAGGGAATAGAACGAAATTAAAAATATACTAAACCACCAACAGCAGTTCAGCAAAGATGTGATAAATTTTACAGTTCATCATTTTATTCTGTTGAATATAAACATCACATAGTGTGTGAATCTGTATGTCGATGAAATGATGCAGTTAACAGTTTCCCAGTTTTGTTATGTTTCGTGATCTCATCATGCAGAAATCACAGACTATTAAAAACAATAATGAATAATATCCACTATAGATTCAGGTATCATAAAATCATTAAAGGATTCACATGCAATGTTTCTAAGTGATGAATTAAAATTTTCAAATTACCAAGAAACTGATCCATATGGTATGTCTACATTGTGAAAAGATAAAGATTATTGGAAGGAGCTATAATCAAGTAGCATAAATAAACCTACCCTAGCTTTGCAGTTGGGATCTGCTCCACGTTGCAAAAGCAAAGAAGCTACATTGATGTGACCACCTTCAGAAGCGTAACTAAGTGGTGTACGTCCACCCTGAAAATACAAATTATTTCAGTGACTCGTAACTCACGAAGGAATGTATTGATTGATTCAATGAATGATGAATGGTGACAAAACTCGACCACAGGAAATCAAACAAAACTGAAAGTGTTTGATGCACTAAACTGCATGAAAACAAGGCAATCTTTATCATATATATATATATATATATATATATATATATATATATATATATATAACATGCAATGTGTGTACGAACATACAGGTATATCACTGTAGAAATGGCAGTTTATAGTTCCCCAATTTTTAAATTTTTTTCTTATTACACAAAACATCGCGGAGGGGGTTTATTCCAAATGTATACATAACACCCACAATGACTACATATTAGCATCAAGTATTATAAGATACACATATAATGTTTACAAATTAAACGGTTTTTTAATGTTTAATTACTGAGTACTGTTCTCATAACACCATAATGAAAATTACTATAGATATCAACTTACCTTGTCCTCACAGCAGGGATCAGCTCCGTGCTGAATGAGTAGAGCTGCTACACCGCTGTGACCGCCCACAGCAGCATAATAAAGTGGTGTGCGACCATACTGTAGAGTCACAACATTTTCAGTTAACAACATATTTTACAGAAAGATTCAGAAATGTAACGAATGATTCAAAATAACCAAACAGTTATGTACAGTGAATAAAAACAAGTTAAAATATATTCGACCACCAGCAGTACAGCCAAGTCGTGGTACACCTAACTGCAGGTGGACAAGATGCTGTTCATTTTATCAAACTGAATAAAGTACATCATACAGTGTGTAGACCAGTTCGTCGATAAAGTGGTGCAGTTTACAGTTTCCCAGTAATGTAATTTTTTGTGATCTCATCTTACAGAAATTGATGATTTTAAAATCTTCATTTACTCAAAACGGATCGCTTCAGGAATGACTGCATGAAAAAAATATAGAGATTATGGGAAGGAACTGTATTTCAAGTGGCATACACAAACCTACCCAAGCAATACTGAAGGGATCAGCTCCGTGCTGCAAAAGTAGAGCTGCAAAATCTTTGTGACCACCGTCAGCAGCGTAATGAAGTGGGGTACGGTCATCCTGTAGATACACAATATTTTCTGAGCCCGATATACACTGTATCTTGCACACAGATGGGCCAAATACTTAATTAACAATTAAAATATATAGTGATTTATAAGGAATAAAACCAAATAAAAAATATACTAGCCTACCAACAGCAGTTCATCAAAGATGTGACACATTTTACAGTTCATCATTTTAGTACATTAAATATATACATCACATAGTGTGTGAATCAGTTTGTCGATGAAATGATGCAGTTAACAGTTTCCCAGTTTTGTCATTTTTCTTTATCTTATCATGCAGAAATCATAACGAGCATTTTAAACAGTGACAAATTAAATCTACAATTAGATTCAGGTATCATTAAAATGTTAGAGGATTCAATGTATTGTTTACAAGCAATGAATTTAAAATGTTTAATTACCAAGTACCGATCTCATAAGGTATGTCTACATATTGAAAATTATCTAGGGGGAGGTACTATATTTTTAGAAGCATATACAAACCTACCCAAGCTTTACTGTTGGGATCAGCTCCATGCTGAATTAATAAAGCTATTAAATCGATGTAACCACCCTCAGCAGCGTAATGAAGTGGTGTACGATCATCCTGAAGATACGCAATATTTGCAGTAACCGATTTATTTTACAGACAGATTACCAACTGATTCAATGATCAATAAAAAAATGAAACACAGGCAATACATCAAATTGAATGTATGTTTGATGAACTAAACTGCCTATAAACAATCGATCTTAATCATTTAGCAAACTGATATATTTATGTGTGTGTGTGTGTGTGTGTGTGTTAATATTTCTCAGGTAGCTTCCGCATGGCGAACGGAGCCGAGATTTAATTACTGTACCCCGCAGGGACGACGTGTGGGGAGGCGTGTGAGAGGCGGAGAGACTATTAAAAGATTAGGCGGTTTTTCTTTCATGTACGTCCGCCATTTTTAGTTATCAGGATTTGTAAAGCCTGGCTCAATTCGTTGAGAATGAGGCCAAAGCTTGGCCAAACCCTGCGTTTTTATACAAGGGCAGAAATTGCCAAAAAGACCACCTCTCACATTGCTGACCATATAACATGCAACTGCATGCATCAATAGTTTCGAGATTTGTGCGGTAGATAGGTAACACACCTGGTTATACGTGGAGTGGCACTTCAGTTTCGGATTTAAAATAGTGTGAGAGAAAACATATATTTTGCAGAAAATTTACTCGCCAAAAAATAACATTCCATATTAAGTATTAACCCTGTAATTAAAAATACACAAAGAAAGTTTATAAATGAGAATGTTTTTTAAATGTTTAATTATACCGATTACTGACCTCATTTGGTATGACTGCGTAATAAAATTAACCAAATATCAACTTACCCTGTCCACACAGCAGGGATCAGCTCCGTGCTGAATGAGTAGAGCTGCTACATTGTTGTGACCGCCCGCAGCAGCATAATGAAGTGGTGTGCGACCATACTGAAGAGTCACATTGTTTACAGTTAGCAACATACTTTACAGAAAGGTGTAACAAATGATACAATTAAACAATAACCAAACATTTATGTACAGTGAATAAAAATCAAGTTCAAAATATATTCGACCACCAACAGCAGTACAGCCAAGTCGTGGTGCATCTAAAGCCTCGGTCACAACCGGCCGTACGGGCTCTTACGGGCTGTTTGCGTCCAAATTTTGCGCAGAATCTCACGTCCCACGCAAGTCTTTCTTACGAAATTTTGAGTTCGCAGACATCCCGTAAGCACGTACGGAGGATGTTGGACATGTCCAAAGGATTCTATGAATAGCCTGCGAACAACGAGACCGCAAGCGTAACTTGCTCCCCTCGAACGGAGTTAGCAAGAGAGACGCGCGTTGTGCAAGACGCACGTCGCAAGCAGTGAAGGAGCAAGTGTCCTATGCGTGTTGAGTAAGGTGCACGCCCTCACATCTAACGAAAAAGGTCGAGAGCACACCGGGAATGCGTCGCACGTGCGTCATCCCCACGCCTGGTGTATAAAAGGCGTGCTCACGACGCACGCTCGTGTCTTTACAATGAACGTCGACTGTGTAAAGTGTACAACAATTTTCAAAATTTTCAAAATTTTTCTCAATTTAGTTTCAAAAGGCAAGAGAAAGAAGCTTACATAGCAGAAAAAAGGGAGGAGGAAGAAGAAAGAAGAGGAGAACAGGAAAACTGACGTACGCTGTCAGTATGTCACCACAAAGTGTGAGGCAAGTGTGAAGCAAAACTGACGCAAAAGGCCATTACTATCGCCGTGCGTTGCATTCCCTTCGTAAGTGGTGAGTGTGCGCCACGTATACAGGCAGCAAGAAAAACTCAAGAAATGTGTACAGTTTCCACGGCCATCGCTCCTTGCAATTAGCGTCCCTGCTTGAAAGGACATCTCATATGGCACTTGCAACTCGCAAGGCAGACTTTCCTCTACCTCTACGACTTCCACGGCCTCCGCAACACCCAAAAATCGAAGGGGACGTACGATCCTGAAATTCGTGCGTCCGGTTGTGACCGAGGCTTAACTGCAGGGAGACAAGATGGCGTTTATTTTATCAAACTGAATAAATGTAGTACGTCACTCAGTGTGAACCAGCACGTCAATGAAATGATGCAGTTTAAAGTTTCCCAGTTTTGTTATATTTCGTGATCTCATCGTACGGAAATAACAATGAGTATTCTAAACAATCAACAACATTCATTACAGATACATAAACATATAATTAACATTTTATGAAATATTTTTAGTTAGCAAGAATTGATCCCATTAGGTATGCCTGTAAAAATACAATATAGATGTAATGAGGAGAAGTTATACTTTAGGTAGCATATACAAACCTACCTTATCCTTACTGCAAGGATCAGCTTTGTGGTACAAAAGTTCGGTTGCTACATTGCTGTAGCCACCCACAGCAACGTAATGAAGTGGTGTACGATCATCCTGAAGATACACAATGTTTTCAGTGCCTGTACTCCATGGGCCAATGAAGACCTCCCTCCCCCCCCTTAGTGATTTTCATTCACTATGTTTTTCTGAAAGCTTAGGTCCTGAGCTTTTATTTTCTGCTTGTTTGCCATTAAACTGGTGGTGGGTGGGTGTGCTATAGCCTTTGCCATGGTAACGTCTCAGATTAAACATTGAAATTTCTGAGACTAAAAGAATATTAAATAATTCAAATATATTATATTAATGGAATTCAAAATCATTTCAGATGTATAGTTTAAGAGCTGCACTATACTTTAAGATCCTTAAAATTTCCAAAGATGGCTGTAAATTCAAGATGGCGACCAATTTTTGCTAATTTTTGAGCAATTTTAATTATTTTTAATATTTGAGTTTTTATTCAATAATAAAGGAATAAGAATGTGGGATATGTTTTGATGCACTGGAATAGCATACAGTCTCTACTTGTGACCTACAGTATTTGTTTTAGATGCAACCTTTTAATTTTGTTGTAAAATCCTGAAATCTGAAATGGCGGCCAAAATACAAGTCTCTTAGATTCCGCTGTCCCAACTGGAAAGATGCCAGATTTATCATCAAAGTGTCATTCTTTATTGCTTTTAATAACTGAATTCGAACTTAGGACTTTTCATAATAATTTGCATTAATTCTGATTACATTAAGACTTCCAAAATTCAAAATGGCCGCCAATATGCTTATACACACTGGCTAAAATTGATATAATATATTCTTCCAACAGAATATTTATTTTAATTATCTCCAACCAACTAAGTCCCATTAGTGATTTTTGTTTACTATGATTTTCTGGCAGGTTAGGCCCTTAGCTTTTATTTTCTGCTTGTTTGCCATTAAACTGGTGGTGGGTGTGAGTAACAGAGCTGTTGGCCATGGTAATGTCTGGGGTTGAAAACTAATATTTTTGAGACCAAAAATAAAAATTAAATATTTCAAATGCATTTAAAATTATGGAATTCTAAATTATACCAGATGTGTAAAGAAAAAAGTGTGCTATACTTCACAATCATCAAAATGCCCCAAGATGGCAGCAAATTCAAGATGGCTGCCAATTTTTGCTCATTTTTGAATAATGTTGGGAATTTTTTTATATTTGAGTTTATATTTAATAATTAAGGAATTGCAATGCGGCATGTGGTTTGATGTTCCGTAATGGCAAAAAGCTTCTGCTTTCTGCCTAAAGTGATTGTTGAAGATGTAACCTTTTAATTTTGACGTAAAATCCTGAAATCCAAGGTGGCTGCCATAAAACATGACTTTTACATACGGCCTACCTAACTGGAAAGATGCCATATTAATCATCCCAAATTACATTCTTTATTACTTTTAGGTGTACTGAATAGGGATCTAGGACCCTTTTCTATAAATTGTGTTAATTCAGATTGCATTATGACTTTCAAAATTCAAAATGGCTGCCAATTTGCTTATACATGAAATTATATAATACATTATTCCGATACAAAATAAAATTCAATAAACTCAAGCTAGCTCAGCCCTATCAGCAATTTTTATGCACTATGATTTTCTGATAGCTTAGGACCTAAGTTCAAATATTCTGCTTGTTTGCCATGTAATAGGTGATAGGTGGGACAGTATTAGCTGTTGCCATAGTAACACAGGGGTTTTAGAATTATAATTTCTGAGACCTTTGAATTGCCATGTATTTTAAATATATGAACTTGATGTATTGTAAACTTTTTTTTAAAAATTAGATTTGGACCTCAGTTATTAATAAAATTATTTGAAAAAATAATCATAGTTAAATTTCTGAAATGGCAGCCAATCCAAGATTGCGATAAATCTATGTTAATTTTCTTCTTATTACTGAAAGTACCTTTTTGTAAACTTTGAAAGCAGCATTGGAATTAAAAAATGTTAGTTTTTTGGATACGCTGATATGAACAGAATTGCATAATTACTGTTTACAGTGATAATTACTTCCATAACTTCTTTAGTGTAATAAAACCTGAAATCCATGGTGGCCATCACAAAACATCGTTTATACATATTGCTGTGCTGACCGAATATATGTTACATTTTCGTTTCAAAATGCCTCTTTTGCTTTTTCTGATAAACTGAATTAACCTATAAGGCTATTATCTAAATGTAAATAATTTCTATTCATTAAGATTCACTGGCAATTAATTTTCAAAAGATTTTCGGCCAAATTATATTTACTTGGCCATTCCAAAATTCATTAGGGCCACAAATGGCCATGACAGTGCAGGTATGAATTTTGCTGCAATGACATTAAACAGTGCAAGAAACAAGTAATTCTAAAATTTGTGCAGTTAATTACAATCAAATATGCCCTTTCTACACTGCTTCCACAGAAACACTTGTCCATATTTAGTTAAATGGATTAAGGATTAAAGCTTTTTGGAAATGGATGAATTGTCTTGGCTTAGTCTTTTTTATTGAAGAATGATCACTGTAAAGCCAGTTAAGATTTGCTGTTACCTCTGAAACCGAGTTTTTGTTACAATCTAAGATGGTGTTCATCTATATGAATAAATGGAATAAAACATTTACATGTATATGCCATAACTCAGCTTTAAACTGCTAGAGAGGTAAAATTATATCCAAGTTTTGGGAAAAAATCAATATATCCACTAACTTCAATTGAACATATAATATAATTTTTTATAATATTTTACTTAAAACATAATTGTATAGAAATGCAAAATCACCATCTATATTTGCAAACTAGTTGCTTTTCACTCAAAATCAGACTATTGTGAGTCATTCAACTTGCCCAATAGATGGTAAGAGGTGATCAAATAATTTCAGCAATCTACCACATGGTAATTTAAATACTTGTAGACCATATTGAGTTATTACAAATGGTCACGATCTTGGCTTCATATTATTCAAATTCAATACATCCAAAGGGAATAACAATAACAAAAGAATAAAAGAATAAATACAGATAGAAAGAAGGCAATTTTGGAGAAAAATGTACAATATTTGAAGTTCGGACAGCAGCATATACCAAAGTAAATCACCCAGGATTTGTTGGGGCTATTCTGGATTTCAAGTTTTTTTTTGTCTTAAAATGATAGTTATTGGAATAACAAACACTATAAGCAGTAAGTAAATACTAAATACCATATGGATATCAAAATACTTAACATTTCTCGATCCCATTAAATTTATTAAATTTTCAACATTAGTTACTAACAGTAGAAACAGGTTAAGAAATCAGCTTAAATTGGCCGCAATTTTGATATTGCTGCCATCTTGAAAAAAATCACACCATCTTGGATTTTTGCCATCATACCACAAATACAGATGTCTTCATATTTTAAATAAGTTTACATTATTGTTGAAGATAATATATTTGAAATGTATGAAATTTTCTTAGTCTCAGAAATGTCAATTTCGAACCCCTGTGTTAGTATGGCAATGGCTGGGTAAATAGAATAGAAAACAAGCAGAAAATGGGATCTTAGGATGTAAGCTAATAGTATATAATATATAGTAGTAAATAAGAGTCGCTAAAGGGGAGGTTCAGATTAATAAAATCAATCTAAGTAACATTCTTTTGGAATATAATTTTCTATCAATTTCTTAGCTAAAGTGTATCATACCGGTCATAAATAAATAGTCCCCTATACTCACTGACAGCAATTTCTTTCAAATGCGACAGAATACATTAGTACTTCAACTCAAAAGTATTCTTTCCCATGTCAAATGTGAGTGATTAGCATGTACATGAAACTTTGTGTGATTTCTTAGGTCAAATGTGAGTGACTTGCATTTATTATGGGGTATTATATGTCTTTTATCTAGTCTTCGCTTATTTTTGACCATTTGATCTTTCTTTTTTTAATAATTTTACATGACCACACATCTAGTAGTGATGAGCACTTTTAAAACATAAGTACTCATCCAAACTTAAGATGAAATTAGGAATATTGCTGTCATATTTTAGTCTACTGGGCTACAGGATTTTTCATCTCAATAAAAAGATTGCACCTTGAACAAACACTACAGGCAGAAAGAAGAGATTTCATGCTATACTGGTGCATCAAAATATCTCAGATATTGCAATTCTTTAATAATTAAATAATAATTAAAAATTATCAAAATTTCTTTAAAAAGAGCAAAAATTGGCCGCCATCTTGGATTTGCCTCCATCTTGGAAAATTTTGTTCATCGTTAAGTATAGTGCACATCATAGACTACATGTCTGGAATGATTTTGAATTCTATTTAGTTTATGAATTTGAAATATTTTAGATTTTGTTGGTCTCAGTAATGTCAATTTTTAACCCGTGTGTTACCATGGCAACGGCTGTAGCACACACACCCACCACTAGTTTAATGGCAAACAAGCAGAAAATAAAAGCTAAGGACCTAAGCTATCAGAAAAACATAGTGAACGAAAATCACTAAGGGGGGGGGTGGGTTTCGGTATTTGGCCCACGGACTACTGATATATCTCACAGACAGGTGTAATAAGTGATTCAGTGAACAATAACAAGAATAAAACACGTGGAATAAAACAAAATTGAAAGTATGTTTGATACACTAAATTGCATGTAAGCAAGACGATCTTCATCAGTTAAGCAAACTTAATAATATATATATATATATATATATATATATATATATATATATCGGAGAATAAAGTCAATACACCATGAATTTTTTTAATAAAATGGAGAGAAAAGACTTAAAATGAAACTTTGGGGGAATTACAAATAAAATGAAAATGTACAGAGATAAGGTTACAGCAATTATAATAAAAATAAAAATAATAAAAAATAATAATAATAAAACATAGATAATATAGCACGGTAATT